GACTAGAAGCCTCAGAGATGGCTTCTGAAGTTCAAAGGTGTGTGATAAATTCATCAGATGGTGCTACAATTTTCAGAGAAGTTCAATATGCATTTTATGCATATGTGCAGGAAAGATTCCTCTTGCCCACCATACTTCAGCTGGCACACAAGAAATAGACATACCACTATAAAACTTAGAGACTAAATTAAAACCAGCATTTCATAACGGTGAACTAGATTATAATTTTGCCCTCATCTATTATCAAAGTCAACAGTTGTGATTGTGCCACTAAATAAAGACGGCTAAATCAAGCAAAACAGGTAGCAAATGCACCTATTTGTTATTTAGCCAGATTATCATTCAACTAGTATTTAGTTTATCAGTAATTTTTAGTATTGTGTCTTCATTGCAGAATGTAGCACAAAATCAGAACGTGTGGAACTGCAGGAATGGGGGCAGCTTTTATCCTGCAATATTTTATTCATAAGTATCAGTATCATATTAACTTCTCAGACACAAAAAATTGCTGTTCAGTTACATCACAGCTGGAAAGAATAAACAAGCTTCAAAGGAAAAATATTTTGCAGAAATTTTTCCATTACACCTTTTAATTGAAAATTTTTAACCACTGTATCACAACACAACATATTGTAGAGCTTCTATTAAGCACCAACAAAATTGCTTTGCTAGAGTAATACAAGAGCAAATAGGATTCAAGAGAAGTAATCTATTTTTTTACCTAATTCTAGTAATTTGATTTTATCAGACCTTAGCTATAGATGTGGAAATCATAGTTATAGTGCTAACGCATTCTACTTTGCAAGCCAGCATACTTTGCATACTTTAAAGTACACGAGACTCCTCTTTGATATTTTTCACAAGAAGAACGTGAATATCCTGAAAAAAAAAAATATTAAAAAATTCATGTATCCTGGTCAAACCACTACTCTGCATGTGTAGACTCATAAGCACATCCATAGCCCTCAGGATTTTTGAAACAAAACAATTACTTTGCTCTTGTATGAATAAGATACTAGAAAGAGCATGGTTCCTGCAGTCCTGAGGTATGCAGCAGTCTCTCATTACAGACATTCAATTATTAATTCTTTGTATCCTAGAAAAACCACCACTGATTCAGTTAGCCTGTCTTTAAAAGTAACAGTTCACTTTTACTACCTACTTCACTCTTCCTTACATTGATACCGTAAGTGAAACAGTCATGAATACCAACATGGTTTTTCATCAGAAAAGGAACATTTATCCCTAACATTGGGACAAAAACAACACATAAAGACTTCACTAGAGCGAGAAACTGGCTGTTGAGAACTGGTTACACGGACAGCAAGTGTCACGATCCGCGACGTATTATATCTCCTTTTTGGAGTGTATTAAGCTTATCAGGATTTGCTGAGAGATCCACACGTGGGTATTGCCTCACACAGAGGAGCAGGATCTTTGGCCCTGACTTTTCGAATGAATAACTTGCTCAGTGCTTACTAATATTTCCAATAACAGCAGCCAATCCCCAATTAGAATTTATGAAATGCACGGTTTATTGTGGGGAAAACAAAGCAATTTGGGGCAGGAGGTTCAAAAGGAGTTTAAAACACATTAAATATTAAAACACATGAAATATATATGGGAACACCTTAGTTACACACCTTATTTACCTATTTAAGTGATGGAAGGAGGGGGGAGAAATATGCCCGACGCAGTTCCCGTATAGGGTCGCGATTTGTGTGCAGGTAAGACAGGATTATACTTTCCCCTATAAGCTGGGGTAGCCGGAATTGTCTCACCACGCTGTGGCGAAGATAGGATGAGCTGGGTCTGGCTGGAGCGAAGCGGAGGTGAGCCGGGGCTCCAAGCGCAGGTTGCCCCCGACAAAGAGAAGCGGCGGCGGTGGCGGCAGCACGTGGCTTCGGGACCGTGGCTGCGGCGCGACGGTTTGCCGACCATGGAAATGCAGCAGTTTAGCGGCACGGCGAGCGGCTCCGGGACTTTGGGACTGCGACTTCAGCAGTTTGCCGCGGGAAGCGGCGGCGGCGA